AGTCCTGCGAGGTGAGGGCTGGGGGACTCACTGGGGTGTCCTGCTCCTGTGGGGTTGGGTCCCTGGGGCAGGGACAGGTTTCCCTGTGGGCAGCAGAGCTGGGGACAGCAAACACCAAGCTCTGCCTCTCTTCCCAGTTTCCCCCAGTGTTGAAGTGCACGCTGAGCCGAGCCCCGCTGAGCTGAACAAGACCGTGACCTTCACCTGCCTCGTGAAGGACTTTTACCCAGCACACGTATCCGTTTCCTGGCTGGAGAATGGGATTGAGATAAACACGCAGAGCGTCTCCCAGCTACGGGAACTCCGCAGTGGCTTGTTCGAGTTGAGAAGCCAGGTGGAGGTGCAAGCGACAGAGGAGAAAAACGGGTCCATGATCATCTGCAGGGTGGTGCACGATGCCCAGGCTCCTGCCAACTCCTCAGCCTCACTGTGGATCTCCAACCCGGCCCAGGGGGAATCGAGCAAGGAGTCCCAGATGCTTAAGGGTGCGTCAGAGCTGCTGGCATGGGGTGCCTGCCAGGGTGGCTATGTGGTTTCACCCTCTGAGGAAGCTCAAAGCCCCATCAAAATTTGGTTGAAGGATGAAATCTCCATATCGGGGGGCTGTGGCATGTGTTGGTATCAGGCACTGAGCTACGTGTCCTGCTTGGTGCTTCATGCATCACTGGGCCAATCTCAGTAGTGAGGCTGCAGGGACTGGGAAGTACAACGTTCTTGGGCCCTGGTGACCTTTTCATTGATGTTTCAGACGATATGCTCATCTACATCGTGGTGGGTGTGGTCTGCACCGTGCTGGCCCTGCTCGTTGCTGCCATTCTGTACCTCATCCGGACGAAGCAGATCAAGGGTAAGAGAGCTGAGTGTGTGGCAAGGAGGCAGCTGCTCCCAACCCCATTTTTCCTCTCTTTCCCATGGGTTTCATCTTGCCTCATTGGACAATAACCCCTAGCAGTGCAGCTGTGGGTCGTGCCTAGTGGGATGATGGATAGAGCTGCCCAGGCTGTTTGCAGGCTGCAGTGAAAGCTCTGGCTGGTCTAAACCCTGCCTTGTACCTCCTGTGCTCCCCCAGGAACAGTCCTGAATGAAATAGATTGAAACTCCAGGGGAATTGCAGGCATTTGCCTCTGGGAAAAGATGTGTCCTTGTTCTTGAAGCAGTCTCTGCATGCGTTCTCTGTGCCCAGGGAAATGGGGCGTTTATCTTGTTTCCTGAATTAATTTCTTCCTAAATTTCTTCTCTTCCGGCAGGTAAAAGCTCGCCATCTGCCAGGTGAGTGCAGATCTCTTCTAGTCACTGGTAACCTGTGGGAACATCTCCAGCCCAGAGTCCCTCAGGACTGAGACAGAGCTGTATCCCCAAAACTTGTGAAAGGGAGAAGGCAGGAGCACAGTCTTTGCCCATCTCCCCAGCTGGGGTTCTGTGCCCTTGGGGATATTTTGCTTGTGGTGGGGCTGAGCAGGCTGGTGGGAGCTGGTCTCCAGCAAGCAGAGGCAGCTGGACCAGCACAAGCCAATGCTCAGGACCTGTCTAGCTGGGTGCAGCTTGCAAGGACCTTAGCTTGCATCTGACCTCCCCAGCTGCTCTGTCACCAGGGAAATGGCAACAAGACATACGATGCCTCTGACTGTTTTTGTCCCTCCTTCCAGGTTACATGAGCCAGAGAAGAGCAGCGAGGCCACGACCCAGGTGGGTCATCGTGGGGCTGGGGAGGGAGAGTAGCTGGGAGTCTCTGGAAATGAGAGTGGAGGGTGGTGGTTCTCCAGTGAAACATCTCAGTGTCTCCACTCTGTGGCTGGAGGTGGAAGAGAGCCTGCTCCAGGAAGAGGGTAGCCACTTCCTAGAATCTTTTCTGCCTTCACCCTTCTTCCTCCTCCTCCTTCTCTTCCCAGTAAAGTCTGGATTGGTGCTGCCTGGAGAACCAGCTGTGCGATAGCCAGCCAGGCTATTTGTGGAGTTATTTTACATTTGGTGACGCAGCTACAAGCAGAGTCGTGATCAGCAGCAATCTGTCCATCCCACCCAGGCTCTGCCAGCTCCAGCGTGGGCATCACTGGGCAGTCTGGCCCTGCTGGGATGGAGTGGCTTCAGTGGTAGCTCTGGAATTGTGGCAGTGGTTTTGAAGCCAGAGCAGGGTGACAGAGTGGTTCATGATTTGCAGCTGTAGCATGGGGTCGAGCATGGCTGCAGGGTGGTGGCTGCTGGCATTGTTCCCCCATACAAGCAGGGTTGAGGTGGCCTGGGCTGAGCTGCAGTGGGATTGACTCCAGAACAGGGCTGTGGGTACAGGGGCATCTTGCCAGAGGAGCAACTCTTGGTACCTCACACAGGAATCTGACCCCAACAACCTGACCTATGCGGACCTGAACTTCGACAAGGAGAGGAAGACCATCCGCCGGATGGTGGAGATGAGCCAGCAGTCAGAGTACGCCTGCATCCAGACTAACCGGGCGCCCAACGGCGACGACAACCTCACCTACGCCGACCTGGACATGGTGCACCTCAGCAAGGCGCCCAAGCGGCCGGCCCCGCGCCCCGAGGAGGCCAGCTCTGAGTATGCCAGCGTCCAGATCACCAGGAAGTGAGTGAGCAGTGGCTGCTGGGACCCCCAGTCCCAAGACTGTTCTCCTGGAAGCACTGGGAGTGATGTGAAGATGCACTGCGGTACCTGTGTTTTAGGATGGAAATGGAGCCCGCAATACTTGTGCAGGTCTTCTCCCATCCAGAGAGACGTGATTTTTGGGGACAATTTGGTCCTGGGGCTGCCAGCTCCATCCCTTCAGGACCCCCGTCAGGGGTTGCTCAACCTCAGTGTGCCGGGTTTACCCGCAAGCAGATTCAGCCAGCGGAGCAGCAGCTCCTTGGGAAGCTCCAGCTGGGCTGAGGGGACAGGTACAGTGCCTCCACACCAGCTCTCATGGGGATGCCACTGCCTGGCCCACGGCTCCCCAGGACCAGCAGGGCCCCCATACTGCCTTCTGGGGCTCTGCCACCACGCCTGGACACCAAACTCTGGCTTTAAAGGAAGGACCGAAGTGTCCGCCTCTCTTCCCAAGTGTCCCTTGTGCGGGACCTCTGTCTCGCCCCAAGGCCAAGAGGCTGGAAGCCCATTGAGCTGAGGCTCCCACCCTGCCGTCCAGGGGAGCTCCAGCTCTGGCTCCCCAGCACCGAGCATCCTCCTCAGCATCATCTTCCTGTGCACAGCCTTGCCCTGCACTGGGACCCACCAGCGCTGCCCCAGGCTTGTACAAAGCGTGCGAGGGCCCCCCCAGCCTGGCTCCCCCCCGGGAGCTCCCCGCAGGTACCGTGTAACATGTTTTGACTGTTTGACATGTAACTGTTAATTTTTAGAGCTGAAACCCCCAATGTTTTGTGTTGTACGTGGGTGTTACTGCTGTGTACTTAACACTAGAATAAGAAGTGCAAAATTAAGACCGAGGCCTCAGTAAAGAATCTCCCAAACCCTACAGAGTTTTATAAGAGACTTATATAGAGAATCCTCTGCCCCAGCTCTGTCTTGGGGGCCAGGCAGACTCCCCCTAGCCCTCTCATGGGGACAAATGTCTTCCATGTGCCCCCTACCTGGGCCACCATATGGAGTCTCACCCTCTGTTGGCTCCTGCACCAGTGGAAATGTGGGAGGCTTGGGGGTCCTTGGGGGTGCTTTGGGAGCAATGTTACTGCTTGTACAGACTTTTTTTTTTGCGTTTTTTTTTTTTCTTTTTGCTTGCAAGATATTTTTATAATAAAAGTGAAAAGTCCTGTGCTGCTCGTGCACATCAGTGTGTCCCTGTGCTCAAGGGGGGTCACCTTGTCACGGGCACTGGGGCTGCAGGGTGGGGTTGGGGGTCTGTGTGTCCTGCAGGGAGGAGGAGAGTTCATCCTGCACAGCCCTGAAGTGTGCGCTGGAGGGAGGGAAGAGGAAGGCAGAAGGTCCAGGCTGGGCTGAGAGCTGTGGTGCTGGTTCCCCTGGGCATCATGAGGGAGGGGAGCAGTGCACCCCATGGACAAGGACTGACCAGGGGTGGCCCTGCTGCATCTTTAGGTGCAGGGGGCTGAGCTGGAGCTGTGTAGGCAGGCTGGGTGCTGGCTCCAGCCTGTGCTATGAATGAGCTGAGTGTTCCAGTGCTCTGCAGTGACCTCCCTCCTTTCCCAACCTGGAGCTGGTGCCTGGGCTGTGTCTGGGACATGAACTGTATCTCACCAGAGCCAGGAACTGCTGTGTGGGGCTACATAGACATTCAAAAGGGAAGTTGCTGCCCAGGCTAGGCTTCCTCAGCACTGAGCTGCTGCTGCTGGGGTCACACATGAGCAGAAGAGGAACAGTTTGCCCCCTGCCCTCAGTATAACTGCCCCTTCCCAGCTGGGGCAGCAGCTGTGATTCCCAAGGAAGTTTCCCCTGCCTGCTGCTGGAGGAGGTACCTTGCCAGCACCCTCCACACCCCTGCACCAGGCTGAGCATCCCTGCCCTGCACTTGATCAGCTGTGATGGCCCAGTCACCCTCAGAATATGGCTCCAGAGGTACATGGTTCCTTTTGGCACCCATGGCACAGGAAGAATGCCTGCAGGTCTCAGAGGAGGTCCCCTGGCCCATTTGGGCACCCCAATTTGGGGTGCTTGCTCTGCCCTGTAGAGGAGGCTCAGCACCCAGCATGGCTTCAGCTTTGTTGGCATCTGCCTTTTATTGACTGCAGTGGGGAGTTGGGTGTTGGGGCATGGGGCTGACCCTGCCTCTAGAGTCGTTTTTGGAGGGGGAGCCCAGGGGCACCAGGAGGGTGCTGGGATTAGTGGGACACTGTGAGAGGGTCGGGGAGGGGAGTGGGGGCTGGGCTCAGCACCGCTTGAGCACCTGGTGATGGTGCTGTGGTTCCACCAGCCACCTCTTCCCCTGGCCACGGCAGCCACCTCCCTGATCCTGCCCTGACTCATCCTTCCCAGTGCTCGGAGCCCACTGCCCTGTACCTCAGCTGTGATGGTTTCCAGGCCCTGCTGTGCTCTGGAAGCTATGGGAGGATGGATGTGTCCCCAGCAACACGTCCCAGGGAACTCTGGGCTGGGCCACAGCTACACCGCCAGCAGCCGGAGGAGTGGCACTGTCCCCTCCGTGCACAGGATGGGCAGGTGAACCAGAGAGGGATAACTGGGGATGGAACTCATGGTCCCCTGGGGGAATGAGGCAAGGGTGACACCAGCCACATCGGGCTGGCCAGGGGACAGGGCTGGGGGCGATGGCACAGTCGGGGTGGCAATGTGGGGAGTGTGGTGCTGCCGTCCCACGCCTGGCTCTATAGGTCTGACACCTCCCCTGAGTAGGCGCTGGGGTCCTCGTCCGAGCGTGTGATCACCTTGAACTGCCTCCGCAGGAAGCCCCCGTAGCGCTTCTGATTGTCCCACTTGAGCTTGGGGCGGATGCGCCGCATGAAGCCCCCGTAGCGCTTGTGCAGCTCCTGCCCCTCGGCCCCGGCCTCCGTGGGCTCCTCGTCCCCGTCCCCTGCCGGCCCCGGGTAGTCCTCGGGGGCCGCTCGCTCCCCCGGCTTGCGGCTGAAGCCCCCGAACTTCTTGCTGAGGCCACCCTTGCTGTGAGCGTTCTCGCGGAGCAGCGACAGCAGCTTCGCCTTGGACATCATCTTCATGAAGCCCCCGTAGCGCTTGGCCGGTGCCAGCGGCAGCTCTGCGGGGCCCAGACCCTGCTCCGGCTCCGCTTCATCTTCCTCCGCCTCCTGCGGGGACGGGTCTGTCCCTTCGGCCAGGGCCACCAGCGGGGCCAGGAGCGCCAGCGCCTTCCTGCACATCTCCCACTCGGGCCCGGGTGACAAGGAGCCCTGGCATTCCCACAGGCACATCTGCAAGACAGCGGCCCCAGGTGCTTGGGGTGAGCCCCTGCATTCCTCCCACCCCAAGCCCAGGGGTCCGTGCCCACCGTGCTGCTCGGCTCAGTGAGAAGCCAAAGTTTGCACAGCCCCAGCACACTGGAGTGCCCATGACCACCCCACCAGGTGCCACCCAGTTCTGCCACCATGCATCCGTGACACTCCACCGCTGTGGCTCCCTGGCTCACGTCCGTGTGGGGCCAGCACTCACCAGGGGCTGGACACTGCTCTCGGCACCGCGGGTCTGGGCTGCACAGAGGGAGCACTGGGTGACACAGTCGGCAGATGCCACCGCAGACAGGGACAGGCAGAGTGCCAGTGCCAGTGCCCGCCGAGCCATCTCGCTCTGCAGACGCTGCCTGGAAAAGAGAAGACAGCATAGAGCCTGTCACCATCCCTTATGCCAGCTCTGGGGGACCTATCACCACTCCACAGCCAATGGGCACCTACCACCTCAATCTGTGAGCTGCTCCTGGCGACACACACAGGGACCTGTGCCTGTGTCCATTTCCATACGACTTACCTCCAGATGCTGCTCCCAGCAAGGACATGACAAGACGTGACCCCTTACCCTGGTTGCAGCCTGGTCCTTGGCACAAGTCCAGAGCCATAGTGAGTCCCTGGTGGACACCAAGTCACCGTGGGCAGGACCACTGTTGCATCTCATACCTCATCTCAGTTCCATCCCATCCATCCTCTCCATCTCTCTTTACCATACCATTAGAAAGAAAAGTCTCTTTTTTCCCCAGCACTGGGTTTCTCTGTGATTGCCATGTCTGCATGGTGCAGGCTGATGAATCACCAGCTCTTGGCCTTGGGGAAAAGAACCACAGCAAACAGAGCTGTGGTGGCAAGTGGATGGGGTGATGCTATGGCCCCGTGTGGACTCACCCCAGGCTGCTGTACCCCACACCAGTGCAGCCTCATCTTCCCTCCCACCCACAAAGTCTGCTGGGCTGGTGCATCAGGAGAAAGTGGAAAAAGAAGGACTTAGGGTTCAAGCCTACCTGCAGTCCGCGATTGCCATCCTCCAGATGTTTGAGAGCCGTGATGGAGCCTCTGGCCTCTGCAGATGAGGACACTGTGCTCAGCTGGGAGAGGGGCTCTGCAGGTTGCAGTGCTAAACCTGACCCCAGGCGAGGCTAGAGGGGCCACTGCCGACTCCGGCTGCAGTGTCACAGAATCACAGTGCCACTGAGACCATGATAGCCCCAGAGTAAGAGCCAGTCTCAAAGGGGTGCGCTGGCTGCAAGCCCCTGCCTGCCTCCATTGCTGCTTTTATCTAGGGTGGGTAAGGCATGACCCAGAGGGATCTGTTACACATTAATGACGCATATTAGAGACTATTGTGTTCTCCAGCAGTAGCTGCTAATGTACTGTAATTGGTGCTGATGAAGAAATGTTAATGCCACAGTATTAATTCATGCTAGATTAAAATTTAATTTGAATTATCTGCACCGTCGTGTGTCGAGCTGTCTGCATTCCTTGGCTGCACGGCCACCAGCTCTGTCAGTCCTCCCAGTGCCCTGGCAGCATGGCAGGGAACAGGGTGGCAGCTGCTCGGGACGGCAGGGGCACGGTGGGACCTCAGCCAGCCCTCGCCACTGAGACACGGGGACAGTCCCTTATTGCATCAGGGCCACCGAGACAGCACCGAGGAGCGAGGACATGCCAGCTGCACAGGCATGTGCCAGCTACACAGGTAGGTGCCAGCTGCAGCACTAGAGGGAATGAAGCTCCCAAAAAGAGTTGCTGACTGCTTCCCCTCCCTCCCCTTCCCCACCCGCTTCCCCTCCCTTGCTCCTCTGCTGCCGGTATCCCCGTGGGTGCCGCCAGAGCAGCGCGCAGGGACGGCACCTGGAATGCTCCCATGCTGGGAACAAGCTGCTAGTTCGTCTGACACTGCACAGTTCAGACCTCTGGCAATCTGGACACAGTGTGTCCCATCCCTGTCACCCTGCTGCAGGCGGAGGATTTCACGGCACTCAGGGGAGAGGCAGTTCTCCGAGCACAGCGTGGCCAGAGACGCCCCACTGCAAACATCCAGGCGGTGCCACAAATGTCCCAGCAGTGCTCTGCCTGTTCCTGGAGCTGGGATAAGGAGGGCTGGCAAAACAGGAGCAGGAAAAGGGGGAGAAAAAAACAAAGGGCTTTTGACAAAAGAGGAAAAAAGCAGCGGGGAGGAAAAAAAGAAAATAACACAAAGGGAGGAAGAAGAAAAGCGGAGTTTGAGCTCAATCCTGCGTTACCTGGAGGAGTCCAGGGCTCCAGGAACACCTTGGAAGGATCGTGGCAGGGTCTGGCAATGCCAGCATTGAGTCCCAGCCTCTGTGGCCACTCTCAGCACATTCTACCCGTGCCAGGTGCCTGCCGGTGACCCTTCCTCCCCTGTCCCATTTCCACTTGAGTCTTCAAAAACCAGGTTTTACTTTGGAAAACCTCCAAGCTGCATCCGTGCACCCCAGAGTCCAATTACAGACCTGGTGACCCAAGGAGGGATGAGGAATCAGGACTGTGTGTGCTGGATAGCAGAGACTGACCCCATCTTGACTAACCTGTGATTATACCTAATGAAGGATATGAACAGCTCTCCCAGACTGAGCGCATCCCTCCTCCCACACAGGTCCAACTCCACAGGTTTGGATCCTGCACGTATTTCTGATGTAGAAGAACAATCAACCTTCCAGCAGCTCCTTTCCTCACCTCTAAAAATTTCTTGGAAATACGATCAGGACAAGGCTTCTCAAAAAAGCTGGTAACTTTTGGAATAGAATCACTCAAAACTCAGCACTGCAGTCACACTGCTGCTTGAGCCAAAAAGGGGGAGACAGAACCCCCCCATCCTCTCTACCCACTCCCTTTGCCCCTCTAAGCCCTGGTTGATTCTGCAGCCAGGATGCATCAGCACGGAAATGAACCCCAGCAGAACTCTGGACAGCTATTCATGGGCTCTGAAACACTAAAGAGACAAGAGGGACCTGCAGCCATGTGGAAGCTCCCCAAAATAACACAAGTCCAACCACAAGCCGCTCGCAGCAGTGTGGCTCAGGGGCTGTTCGTAAACTTCTGCTTTTTGGGGAGCAAGAGCGATTCCCTGATTGTGCCCACGCAATGGAAGGGAGATGACAACCCCGGCAGCCCTACCTGCCGCTGCTCCCCGTCCCGCCGAGCACCTGCTTCGCCAAGTCAGGACGGGTCGTGGCTGGTGGCTGTCCCTCCACGGGCGTCAGGCTGCGCCAGTCATCGGTGGCGAGGCCACACTGGCAGGTGGCCCCACGGTGCTGCCCGGGTTGCCCACCGGACTCGCCGCCGGCTGCCTCTCACCCCGCTTTTATGGCCACGGAGTCTCCTCCTGCGGCGGGGCCCGGCTGTGCGCGGCGGCAGAGCCAATCGGGGCGAGGGAAGCTGTGAATAATCAGCCCCGCAGCATCCCCGCCACCTCCCGAGCAGGCTCGCCCGCACCGCCGAGGCCTCCCCGCAGCCCCGTGCCGCCCCGGGAACCGGGGTGCACATCCCACCGTTGCGGCTGCATCACTCGGAGACTTCCGTCGTGCCCAGCCTCGGTCCTCGGGGCCGAAACGCGTGCCCCAAACAAGGAAGGTGGCAGACGACTGGGATGAGATCTATCTGCCTTCCCATACAGCGTCCCAGAGGGGTTTGGCTGCTGGGAGTGTGAATCCTCTGGACACCAAATTCAAGTCCTGTCCAAGAAGGGAAAAGGTGAAGCCCTGACCTCCTCTCACTCTCCTCCCCAGGCTGGAGAGAGGCACCGTCCTCGTGGAGATGCTGGGGAAAGAAGTGAGCCCATCCAAAGCTGCTGGGAAGGGAAAGAGCGTCTTCATGCCCCGGGAAAGAGATGTCCCAACCCTCCCAGCCCAGCTGCTGCCAGGTGAAAAAGCCTTTGCATAGAAACCCCCCAACCTCTACAATGCCAGGGCTCGGAGCCAGGGCTTCCCTGCAGCTCCACATCTCCCTGAACCCCCTCCTCATGAGGGCAAACACAGAGATGAACCAAAGAGGCAGGGGGAGCTGGGTGGGGGGAAAAAAGACACCCCTGCTTTCCCCATTCAGCCCTAATTCCTGTTCTCACACATTTCCCAGTCTGATTTGGGAATAAAGGAAAACAGCACTGGGCAATGATAGGCAATCCCTGAGCTCCCACACCAGTGTCCCACTGCACCATGTCACAACAGACGTGTGGGATGGGGGTCCGAGGTGCAGACCCCATAGGACATCCTGCCCCGGCCCCCACACCCCGGTGGGTGCAGACACATCCCCTGCGTCGCTGGCAGTGCAGCCAGTCCTCTTGCCTTGAAGATGGAGCTATTTTTATCGGAGCTCAAGAGGGATGTTTCCCAGCAACCTGCTGTTCTCCCAGCTCGAACACCAGCTGCTGGACCTGGTGCCCCCTTGCTCAGCCCTCCCAGCACTGGTGAGGGAAGTGGGGGCCATCGACAGGGCTGGGACCCTCTGCTGGGCACCCAGCAGCCACGGCAGCCTGTGCCTGCGGTCCTCCATCAGGGCTGGTGATCAGATCTGTCGGCATCCCCGTGTTCCTTAAAAAGCAGGCGGGACCCCACGGCTTTTGTTTGGAGGTGGATTTTAACTCATCCAGGCTGGGACTGTGCCAACACGGAGGGACCAAGGGAGAAAGGCAGAGGGTGGGGGCGAGGGCAGAGCCCTGCATCCTCCGCAGGGCCAACGGAGGAACCCATCCCTCCATCCCTGGGGCTGCAGCGAGGGGGGATGGAGCTCAGGCCCCGCAGGGGCAGAGAGCGGCCACGGCCCCGCCTCGCTGTGTCGGGGTGTGCTTGGCCGTGCAGGCACAGAACAAAAAAGAACAAAATGCATCTGCAAACCACCACACCACCCTGGGCGAGGGGCTGTGGGCAGCCCTCGGGCAGTTTAACCCTCGCTGCTGGGATTGATGGCCGTGCGGGCACCACAGACACGGTGGGGTGGAGCATTTCTACACCAAAGCCGTTATTTTTATATGAATATGTATATATGTATATATGCACCCAGCGGCCTGGGGTGCAGTCACCTCCCCGCACAGGATAATTGCACATGAGGGAGATGTGTTAGAGATTAAGCAAATCCCAAGGACGCAGAGGGAAATGCCGTTCGGAATAAGGTTCCTTCCCTTTGTTCCGGGTGGGAGGTCGAGTTACTCCTGTCCCCAGAGCAAAGTGCCACAGATCTACTGAGCTGGGTAAGAGGGTCCTCCATGGGTCCAGGGCGCAGAGGGTGACAGGTCCCCCGGGAGAGGAGCTGGGAGCCAGCCCACCCACCAGCAACTCAATTTAATATTCATCTGTCTCTTCCTAATGGGAAAGTGTCTCTGAGTCACACTGACATTTCCCTGGGACAATGGTAATTAAGTACCTGGGTAAGTGAAATGTGCGGTAATAGAAAAGTTAACTTTTCCTAACTACATGAGTGAAAGGCGCGTTCGGCGAGGAGGGGGCCGAGGATGCCAGGCACCGGCGGAAGCAGGTGGGTGTTAATATCAGCTCACGTCACACGGCGCTGCCACTCTGCCCCTGAGCCCCCAGCCCCCCGAAGGACTCTTCTCCAGAGCAGATAGGGCTCCCTATCCCGGGATGGGGTAAATCTCTGGGTACAAGCTCTGCCAGCCGCCGGGGCTGTCCCGAAGCAGAGGGACTGCGACCCAGAGCTGCCGGCGGGAGCTTCCCTATGAAAGCAATCGCTATGCTTTATCCCATTAAGGGACAGGGCTTTTCCAGAAACTCCCAAAACGTTTGCACTCCTGCTTGGCCTTGCCGTAGGCAGGAGAGGGAGGTGTTCAGACGCATTCTGTGGGACCTGGGGAGAAACACCGGGTGGGTGATGCCCGGGATTCTGCTCCAAACCACCCGCGGGAGGGTTCTTCTGGCAAAGGGAGCACCGGAGCAGGAGGCAGTCAGCGCTGCCCAGGCGGGAACACGGTGACCTCCCTGCGTGGGCAGGAGGCACAAGTGCCACTCGACAGCGGTACGAGAAGCGGCGCTCTCGTAAGCACGGCGAATTACGCCGCTGACACCGTCCCCGTCGCTCCGGGCTGCCGAGCGGCACCGGGGGCACGGGGCTGCAGGCGCGACCCCTGCAGCCTCCCTGGGAGGCGAAGTGGCTCAATTTAAAAATAAATTGAGGTCAAACCACTTGCAGGAGCTGCTGCCGGCGCCATGACACCGCAGGGCAACCCCACATTAGAGCTGTCGGTGGCTCTGGGGGTCGCCGTCCCTTCCCCGGGGGACAGCATGACGCAGCCGGGAGCTGCTGGGCTGAGTGATGGCAGCTGCACACACCTCAGCAGTGGGTCAAGAAATTAGGGAATTTTGAGAGCTCCTCCGTAACCGGCTCTGCAGACGATGTCTTTGACCGGCCGCAGCGCCCGCTGCCAACGGCACCGCGCGGGGGGGCAGGAAAACGCGGGAGAGCCGGCTGGGAAAGTACATCTTGCGGGGTTGGATCGCCGTTCCCTCCTCAAATGCACGGGGAGCGAGACGGTGGCGTACAAAGCCCCGAGCCAGGGGGGCTGCCAGCCACCAACAGCGCCAGGAACAGCATGAGACCCCCCGGGGAGCCCGGAGTGGACAGATACTCGTGATGCCCACGGCCCGGGGGGTGAAAAGCAATTTGGGGACTGTGCGTGGGACAGGGACAGGGTCCACCCCACCTGCTCGCAGAAGCAATGCCACCAAACCAGCCCCACGCGGAGCCAAGACTCAACCCCGCGGGGAGACACGGCCATCCGGGGTGACACATTGCAGCCTCGCGGTCTCCCCTCGGTGTCCCGGCATAGGGCGGTCGCCGCGTCCCGCTCTCGGTGACCAGTGCCGGTCCCACCACCCGGTGGGTGCCGCGCCGCTCCACGCCACCCTGGTGTCCCCCCATAACCCTTGGTCCCGGCCCGCGGGGCAGCAGGACTCTTTAGGGATCGCAGCCACTTTCCAGGGGGGAACTTCCAGTTGGAAACTCCTCGGTGATCCCCGGCTGTGGGGTCGAACTGTCGGGGTGAAAGCAGCGCCCGGGAGGAACCCCCGAATGCTGCCGGAGCTGTTAAACCGGCCCCGAGCCGCGCGGCTGCCCTTCTCGGTGCGGCTGCACAGCGCCGGTTCACCGAACATCCGTCGCCGCGCGGCTACTACCGCTAGCGCAACGGGTCCTGGGGATTTATTGGGTCCTGGGGATTTATCGGGTGCCGAGGCACCACCTCCTTCCCGGGGAATCACCTCCCTGACGGCATCACCTCCCCGCCGGGACATCACCTACAACAAGTGCACCGCCCCCCTCGCCGGTGCACCGAGCTGCTGCTGGCGCACTGTGTCCCGGAGCATCACTCCCTTGGCGACATCACACACAGCCCTCCCCGGTGCACCGGACGCCTTGTACAGCACGGTTACCGCTGGTACACTGCTCCCCTCAACCCACGCCGGGGCATCCCGGCCCCCCAGTACACCGCCCGTCCCGGGGCGGTGGGAGGGGGCTGGTGGGGGCGGGTCACCCCCCTGCCGTTACATAAGGGGTTACGTCAGGGCGCGCTCTTATCCCACCGCCGCTGCCGCTCCCCCACCCCGCCCATTCACTCGCCGCCGCCGCGCAGCGCCCAGCCCAGAACCCCCACCGCCGCTCCTCAGGTGAGCCCCGCGGGCCAGACCCGAGCCCGCACCGCCTCCCCCGGGCTGCACCGGGAGGGACGGGGAGGGGGGGGACCGGCGGCTGACGCCGGGGCCCCTATGACCGGCCTGTTTACACCGGCGCGGCGCGTACCACCGTGGCGGGGGAGTGGGAGGGATCTGCCGCCGCGCTGAGCCCCGGCCGTGCCGAGCCACGCTGGCGGCACCGCGACCCGGTTACCGTGCCCGGGGCGGGAAACCCGTTGCTCCCTTTCCGAGTACGGGGCCGGTACCGGGGAGAGGCCGAGCCCCGTCGCGGCGGCAGCCGCCCCCCCCCGGCGCCGCGGTGGTTCGCCCCGCGCGGCCGCGATTGGCCGAACGCTTAAAGGGGACGGCAGCGCGCGCTTTTCCGCCCCGCGGCGCGGCGGCGGCATCAGCGCGTGCCCCCTCGCCCGCGCGGCGCTGCCCGGCACGCGGGGCGGGGGGGGCCATGGACGGCGGCCGCCGCGGGACACAAAGGACGGCTCGGCGGCGGCGGGCGACGCGGCGCGGGGCCATGGCGGCGGCGGCGGTGGCGGGGCCGGGCATCGGCGGCGGTGGCGGTGGCCCGCGGTACAGCCTGCTGGCCGAGATCGGCCGCGGCGCCTACGGCGTGGTGTACGAGGCGGTGTCAGGCCGCAGCGGCGCCCGGCTGGCGGTGAAGCGGATCCGCTGCGACGCTCCCGAGAACGTGGAGCTGGCGCTGGCCGAGTTCTGGGCCCTGACGAGCCTCCGGCGGCAGCACCCCAACGTGGTGCGGTTCGAGGAGTGCGTCCTGCAGCGGCACGGCCTGGGGCAGCGCATGAGCCACGGCAACAAGCGCAGCCAGCTCTACCTGCGCCTCGTCGAGACTTCCCTCAAAGGTACCGGCACCCCCGGGGCATCCCCGGCACGGCCCCAGCGCCCTCCTGGGGCACCTCCCGCGCCCGGGGCCTCTAGGGTCCCTGTCTCTGACACCTGTGTCACCTATCCCTAGCCCTGAGCACCTGGATCTGCCACCTCCCTGCTGTCACCCCACACCCAGACCCTTCTGCCCCACTGCAAGGTTACACCCCTAGAGCAGGTGACTGCTGGGATGCCCTATGTAGGGCATCCTGGTTTTGTTTCCTTCTCCATGGGCACCCTTCCACAATAACCGCACCTCAGGCACAGCTGCTTCCCTCGCTTGCTCCCCATCATCCTTTTGCTCAAATCCTACCTCTGCTTAAGAGCATCCAAAGCTCCCCCCAGCTCTCACAATGCCCTTTTTCCCATGTCGATTCACTCCTTTTTCAGCATAACCACCCCTGGGCTCTCCCCGCTGTGCCCCTGAGCATCTATGACAACTTGCACTCTTGGAGTCCCCTCTGGGTATTTGTTCTAGGCTTGGTCCCATCTCTGTCCTGTCTCTGCAAGGCTCCCCCACAGGGTCTCTTTGCTGTCACTCACCCTGAACACAACTGAGGGAGCCTTATTCTGGACACTGTCCCCCCATGCTGTGCCATCTCCTCCACTCTCCCTTTCCATATGATGCTCCCAGGAAACCATTTCCTAAATCCCGTCCATGTCTTGCAGCAATGCCAGTGGGGTCCCTCCATGTGCCCTGCAGTCCTGACCCCAGTCCTAAGGGTCCCTGTTGTCACCTGCAGGCTCACACCTAACTCTTGGGGGTCATCCCTGTGTGCTGGACCCCTGGGCAGCACTGACTCGTCCTCCCTTACACCCCAAATCCAGAGCTCCATCTACTGCCCTGACCTATGCCACAGCCCACACACATCCCCTGGGGACCTTCATGGCCTGTGCCCCAGTCACACCAAGGGGACATCTGCCCCCCTCTGCCCAGTGTGCTGTCCCATCTCTGAGTACCCCAAGGCTGCAGCCTGCTATGGCTCAAGGTCCTACAGCTTTAGGACTGTCCCCGTGTCCTGTTGCTGGCTGTGTGGCAACAGCCCTGGAAGCACTAATGCCTGTAGCTTGGGCTGATACCTCCATTTTCCCCTGAGGTCCCTCATCAGCATCACGGGGCCATCAGGGGTCACCTTTCCCTGACACAGCTGGTGGTTGTGATGGAGACATCTCCAAAATGCTCCCTCCCTCCCTTTGCTCCCTTGGTTGCTTGTCAGACCCAGCTTTGCCAGTGTGTTGTGAAGAAGTGGAAAAATACTGGAGCCCTATGCCCTCAAAGCCCCTGTGCCCCCCCAGCTTGCTGTGAGCAGAGCCAGCTCACCCCAATCCTTCCTTCCCCAAATTTGTGTGCCAGGACTCTTGTCAGCTATTTGGGGTGCTCAGTCTCCCTGAGCCCCCAGTATAGGCAACGCCCAGACGCTGTGCCAGGCACAGAGTTCATGCAAAACCTCCGAGAGCCATCCTTGATCAAACCTGTGGCTCTGACTGTCCCTGCCTTGTCTGTCCCCTCTGTATCCCAGGTGGGTGGACATGTCCAGACCTGCCTGGCTCTCCCCATGCACCCCAGCTCCTGCTCTTCCTTCACACAACCACCCAAGGGAGGCTCCCTGAGAAGGGCAGTGTCCAAATTCCTGTACACACAGGGCACACAGCTCCCTGGGAGAGGAGCCAACCTCTTCCCTTTGGGTGTGTGTCCAGCTGTAGCAGGAATGCAGGGGGTCCTGCCCTCCTCTGTCATATTGCATGCCCTGAGGAGAGCTGGCTTGGCTTGGGGAAAGCTCTTGGGTGGCTGGAGGTGCCCCACATCCAGGTGGGGAAGGGGACCCATAGGTACCCCATTGCTAGCTGGGGGTTGAGCCTCCTGAATTCCCAGCAGTGGGGAGAGCTTTGCCTGCCCTGACCCTCCTGCAGCCCCTCAGAGGGGAGCAGAGCTGGGCTGTGCATTCCCAGCCTGGACAGGAGTAGTTTGACTCCCAAAACCAAGCTGGAGCACATTCTCCTTTCGTGTGCCTGGCTGCCCTCAGGGCTGTGTTGTACCAAGCAACCTTTGCTTGCTGCCTTCCCAAGCCGTGGGTCTGATAGATGTGGATAAATATTTTCAAAACAAAAGCTGGAGCTGGATGAGCCCTGCAGGTCTCCTGCTCCCCTTTCCTGCTGGCAGCAGAGCTGGAGCTGTGGCAGTGGCCGTGGAGCTGTGCTGCCATTCTGCCGTGCCATTCTGCACGACTGCAGCTGGGCTATTTACGGGCCAGCGCAGATGCTGTGCCAACGTGCCAGGGCTCAGGGCATGGCCAGGATTAATCTGAGATCTTGTGAATCGGGAGCACAACTGTCGGGAAACTGGCGGGGTTTGGTCTCAGCTACTGCGCAGAGCCTGAACCTTTATCATTTTAACGAGATGGGGGGTAATTAAATTTAAGTGCAAGGTGTGAAAAGGAAGGTGAAAGCTCGGCACTGAGCTGGAGGAGAGGCACGTACCTGTGCAATGTGCTCAGAGCCCTGACACAGGAGCACCTCCAGTGCTTGTGCATGTCACATGCCCCTCTTGTTCCTAACCTAGAGCAGTGACAGAACTGCCTTAAGTGAACAGGTATAAGGTGTTGCTTCCTGTTCCTTCCGTGTCATCTGTGGGACCATCAACCTGCCACCAGCACTCAGCCTCACTCATGGGCCGCACTGTTGTCACATACATGTGTTGCCATCATTCCAGCTGCCTGGAATTCTGTGCTGCCAGCTCCTATCTTTCTGGTGCAGCCTCCTTGCACAGAGGGAGTCAGAGGTTACATGTGGCAGTGGGCACTGGGATGCTGCTTCTGCTCTCAGTGGGTTTTTATTTCCCCTGTGAAGCTAAGCAAATTAGCACGCTGCTAATGAGTTCCCAGGATGGGATGGGGGAGGCGTGTGTGTGTGTGCTGCTGGGAAAGATGGAGTGTGAGTGTGTGCCATCCTGTGTTTGGGCAGGGAGCACATGGGGATGCTGGCTGGTGATAGAGAACAGGTCCAGCCTGTCATTGGCATCTCCTCAGCTCTTGTCTACTTGTCTTCAGTTTGCTAACATCTCATCTTTAGGGAGTGTCTTGCCAGTTCTTTATGTTTAAAGCTGTTTGTTTTGAAGGCAGGAAGATGATTTAACAACTAAAACACTTTCAGATTATAGAAAGAAAATGAGGAAATATTACTTTTGGCTTAAGCCTCCACTCACAATGCTCCACCCAAGTCAAGTGCCTGGTGCTCACAGCTACTGCTGGATCCCTGTCACCTTTCTTGCACTTGCTGAGATTCAGGGGCCAAGTTTTAAATCAGAGCCTTCCTTATGCTAAAAACAAACCTTGGCTTGTCAGAGCTAAGGTCCTGCTGCTGAGCCAGTGTTTGAGCCACTTCCTGTGGCTCCAGCCAGCAGTGCTGTGTGGATGCTCCCACCTGGCTGTGTGTGAGGGATGTGCCATGCTCTCTGGCATGGTTTGATTCCTGGCAGAGAAGAGACAGACACTCTGCTCCCTGTGTTGGGGCTATATGGCTGCAGAGGGAAGCAGGAAAGCCAAACCCTGTGTCCTGCTGTGATGTCCCTGGGCTTTAACAAGTCAGAGTGGTGGCTGCTGTGTGAGCTAGGGCCCCCTGGGGTCTCTGCTCCGAGAACAAGCATCCTCTCCTTCAGTTTCCATACTGTCATGCCAAACGTGGCTTGCACCAGAGAAGTTGCTTTTTTTCCTGGTCAGCATTTTGGTCTCCAGATCCAAGCTGTTCTGTGCTGCTCCCAGTTGGCCCTTGGGCTTTTGTGGTGAGCCTCTTTCCAGCCAGATGAGACCCCCAAAGTGCACCCTGTACCCTGTGTAACTCCACCCTGTTCTTTCATCCTCCAGATCTAACCTTCAGACCTAATCTCAGCAAAAGATTGCTGAAGATGGGGAGGTGCAGCCAAATCCTTGTGTTGTGCAGATTTCCATTTCCATAGCAGTAGCCCTGGATACAGACTGTTTGTGTAAATAACCAATATCCCCACCCACACCGACTGCTGACCAGTGCAGTCCAGGGCTGGGTGTCCCTGGTAGTCCTTGGCTTTACCTGATGCTGGAAGTTTTTTGCTTTCCCAGATGCTCTCTAGGGCTTTGCTCAAACAAAACCCAACTTTGTCAAATGGGTGGAGTTTTTTAACTGCTCTCAAAACCACTTGAATTTAACTGTGGGACTTTCTGACTGTAGCAGAGGTGAGTGGTGTCCTCCAGCTTCTCTCTTATGGTGGTTGAGGATAAAAAAAAATCAATTTCTAGAGCAAAATGATACTCTGGTGGTGTGTTCAGACTCTGCCAATCACCTGGATGCTCTCTGGAGGAGACTTGGGGTCTGACTGGGGGGTTTGCATTCCTGGCATCAGCTAACAGGGATGGGTGTGTTGCCAATGCTCCCTGGGGCATCCTAGCATCCCTGGGGAGCACCAGTGGCAGACCTGGCCCCATTAGCTGATATGATGCTGTTGTGTTCTTCAGGAGTCTAATTGATGTGCAAGAGTCCTTCCTTAGGCAGGAGTTTTATGGAGTAAAGCCTGAGATGCTCTGAGATTGAAGAGCTCAGTTTGATGTCTGGTGAAGGAAAAAGCTGTTTGGGGTGTAATACTGACTAGTAGGAGTACTTATAGTCACAAGTGTGGCTGAGATTACACTCAGCAAACATTGTTTGCAGCTTGGACCTCCAGTTTCCTCTTATTAAAGACTTGTTGGCACTTAATGAAAGCTGGATGAAGTGGCAGTTTCCCCAGCACAAATGCAATCCTTAAATGCACAAATTTGATCTGGGAAGACCCAGTGGGCCGTAGAGCTGGGACACTAATGTGACCACTCTTGCCAAGACTGTGCTGGCACAGTGTTAAGGGCTGTGATTTACTCCCTGTATGCAGTTCCAGTAAAGTGTATGGAATGAGCCAGCCTTTGCCTTCTGCAGCAGAGCTCAGGTGGGAGAGGAGTCATTCACAGAAGTGATTCTTTTTTTTCCTGTAGACACACTGCTAATTTTGCTTTTAGCCTCTGCTGCTTTGGCCGTCAGAGCATGGGGAGAATGGCCTGATGGTAGGACTGAAGATGTGTTCTCTGCACTTTGCTGGGAGGAGGCCCCTGAGCCGGTTCCCAGCAGTGAGTTTGGATAAACCTGGTGCTGGTGTGTCATGCTCAACAGGATACCAAAGCACTTGAAGCCACAGCAGTGCCAGCATCACTGCTGGTGCCCTGCAGTGCAATAGGTCCTAGTGACATTCCCAACATTTTTGCTCTCCGCATAAACCAGACCTGTTTGTCAGCCATCCTGGCTTAGTACGGACTTCGAAATGTGTCTGAAAAACCCACTCTTTTATCCTTTTTGTCAGGTGAGAGGATCCTGGGCTATGCAGAGGAGCCTTGCTACCTGTGGTTCGTCATGGAATTCTGCGAAGGGGGAGACCTCAACCAGTATGTGCTGTCCCGAAGGCCAGACCCAGCTACCAACAAGAGCTTCATGCTGCAGCTCACCAGTGCCATTGCCTTCCTGCACAAGAACCACATTGTCCACCGGGACCTGAAGCCAGACAACATCCTGATAACTGAGAAATCTGGCACCCCTGTGCTCAAGGTGGCTGACTTTGGGCTGAGCAAGGTCTGTGCTGGCCTGACTGCTCGGGGCAAGGAGGGTGGGCATGAGAACAAAAATGTGAATGTGAACAAGTACTGGCTGTCCTCAGCCTGTGGCTCCGATTTCTACATGGCACCCGAGGTATGGGAGGGACACTACACTGCCAAGGCTGACATCTTTGCCCTCGGCATCATCATCTGGGCCATGATTGAGAGGATCACTTTCATTGATGCCGAGACCAAGAAGGAGCTGCTGGGCACTTACATCAAGCAGGGGACTGAGATTGTGCCCGTTGGGGAAGCGCTGCTAGAAAACCCAAAGATGGAGCTGCACATCCCTCAGAAACGCAGGACTTCCATGTCTGAGGGGATCAAGCAGCTCTTGAAAGACATGTTGGCTGCTAACCCGCAGGATCGACCTGATGCCTTTGAGCTTGAAACCAGAATGGACCAGGTTACATGTGCTGCTTAAATTCAGGGCAGGGCACCGCTGTGCTTTGCAGCTGGGTAAGTGATTCGCACTTTGTCTTTTTTCTGTTGGCTGTACTGGTCCAGTAGTGCACTTTGTAGTGACACAAAGGAGTCTTTTATGTTCCTAGAGCTATTTCTATAGTGACTCATCAGAACACTGCTTCTGAGGCTGTTTTCACCTATTCTACTGCAAAAATAAAGTAGAGGTGAGAAATAGAATTAGCAGCTGCACATCCTGTCACTGCCTAAGGGCCCATTGCAGCTGGAAGGGCTGGGCAGGAGCCTTGCCCCTCAGAAGTCCTGGCCAGTGGCTGAGACAGGCTGGGGCACAGCAGAGACACCTGCAAGCACTTGGTATAAGCTTTGGGGACATCTGTCTCTCTCAGGGTCAGGGAGGGATTTGCCAGTTCTGCCTCCTCTGCTGTGTGATGTAATTTCCACAGTCTGTGCTGGAGCTCCCTGTCTGGCACCATCCCCCTCTCCTGTGACACTTGGACAGGACACCTCAGGGCCCAGCTGGCTCAGTGAGTAGGCACCAAGTGGCACATCTGTCTTGGCACAAAACTCTGCTTTCACCTACAAGGCACGTGGGTCCATCCTGTGGCTCTGTTTCGTTTCCCTATTAAAGGCAGGACTTCCCTTTGGTGTGAACGCCAGTGGCTCAGACCCAGGAGATGCTTTGGTCTCCAGCATCTGTGTTTGTAGACCTGGGTCTACTCAGGAAGGAAGCTTAAAAACAGCTCTGCTCAGACTGAGCTCAGCTCTGTCCAAACAGAGTCTCCTCCCTTCTCCCCCGCTGCTAAACAGTCTCAAGCTCAGAAGTCCTGGTCCTGAGGCCTGGGTGGTCACACATGGTCTGGAAGGATCCCCAGGGATGTGATGTAGCTGGCAGTATCACTCACCAGTGACACAGAAGGACTGGGAGGTGTTGCCTACATGGCAAAGCTGTCTGTAAACAGGAGCTGTTACTAGGGATTCTCCTAGCCAAACATTTCAATGAAACTGAAGAATAACAGATTACCAGGGGTGAGGCATCTTTCCAGCCTGCATCCTTTCTCAGGCTCCTGCAGATCTGCCTGCCTATCACTGGTCCCAGGAGATCTTTAACAGCCTGCCTGTGTCAGGTGCTGGCATCACATCACACCACACTCAGCCAGCTAGACTGGAGCTGACCATGGATGCAAGAGGGCAAAGAGGGAGGAAATTGTGTTCCTAGCCAGCACTCACCAGTCCTCAGCTGATGGCTGTGCTTGTCCAGCTCTGAGAGCAAGCCCCCAGCAGCAGGCACTTGGGGGGAGGTGGAGGTATTTTGGCAGGTTTTGCTAAAACCCCTCATTGCTGCCACCTGAGGGTTCCTGAGCTTATGGAAAACGCTGTAGTACCTGACCCCCCTCTTTCTGTGTGCCCAGGTACACTCTGTGCTGTATGTAGAGAAATAGGAATGGAAATGAAAAGACATATTGGGTGGGTTTTTCTCTGTTGGTTTGTCAAACCGGTCCACGGACCATCCCCTCTGCACTCTTCTACACACAAAATATTTCACACCCATCTCAAGTGCAAGCAACTGATTCAAGCACTGCTGCCTGGGGCTGGATGCTGGTCCCAGTGCAAGTGTGGGCTGGGGATTAGGGTGGGAGAGTGAATCTGTGGAAATGTGAGCCCTTGAGATGGGTGTGCTCCAGCCCCGGGGCAAGAGTAGACACCCTGCCTTGTGCCCCGGGGCGAGGCGTGGGGCTGAGGGAGCAGCTCTGCCGCATGTGGAGGGTCAGGCCGGGCTCTGCCATCTGCGCTGGCTCTGTGCTGACATGATGCTGCTGCGTTATGCAACCAGCCCCTGCCCTCGGGGGAAAATTCATCCTGCGCAGATCTGCGGAATAGTACATGAAGGGATAACAAACACCGAGGGGACAGTCCTACCCCGCGGCTGTTTGCTCCAACCCAGCTGCCTTCTGCAGCCCCCCCTCACTCCATCCGTGAGTCTGCACCGATAGCTCCGTCGTGACACAGCTGCAGCAGCCAGGGATGCTCTTACATAACCCAACCTGGCACACGGAGCAGGGTCGCTTGGCCCAGATAGAGCCCAGCACCAGCCATATGTTCCCTGCAAACACAGAGTATTCCTCTGTCTCGCTCGTGGGGTGGCCAGAATATTTGGTGTGCTTTGCTGTATGGTTTTCCTGGTGTAGTTGTGCATTCAAGTCAGCCTTCTTCTGGCTGCTATTAAATGCAAATCTTAAACTGGAAACCTGCTTGAGAAGCTTAAAATGGGATTTAGAGCAGAGCCTGAATTCTGTTCTCAGGTAATTTTAGTTGACCGAGAAACTCATGTAACCTCTTTCAACTTACTTGTGGCACTGGCATGTAGCTTTGCTATGCTGGGTCATGCAGTGGCTTCTTCCCCAGGGTAGTTCAGACCTGATCAGCCTTGGTTCATGTCATAACCTGGAAACCTGACCCCGGGAATTGGATTTTTGCTTATTCTTTGTTGTGCCACTGACCTCTTCAGATTTCTCTTCATGTCTCCGCAGCTTCACCTTTAGTTCTGCCACGGATGCTGCATGCACCTGAGATCTTAATGCTCAGTTGCCATTCCAAAATGCAGATGTGAAATGTCAGTTCTCAGGCAAGAAAGTCTTTTTGACTTGGTTTTATGCCAGACACTGGGCTGTCTGAGGTGGAGATGACTCATTATCTCCTTGCTTTTCCCACTGCTGGTGGCCCTGGGGCAGTAGTTCCAGCAGAGGTGGGCAGCATTTCTAAAACGAAGGTATACTCTTTTTAATTTGAACATTTAATTCTTCCCTACCTTCTGCAATTGTTTAGATATAGTCAATCTACTATAATAACTAATAGTTATCTACAGCTCTCTAGAGTTGTTGGGAAAAGCTGCCTTTTGGGCAGAGGACAAAAGCCTTTCTAGCACAATTAGGGAGTAGCTGGGTTGTGCTGGCTATCTGCTGAGTCTCTTTGACTGTGATAGCCCAGCACTGACTGCACTGCCCACTGGACTTTCCCTCCTTCACTGAAAAGCTGGAATGACTCTCCTTTCCTGCCGTGTGAACATCTCTTTCTATGTCGCCTTTGTAGTTGCCTCCGGAGTCCCTGGGGATGGTGAGGGGCCTCCCAGAGATGCTGCTCCAGTGGAATCCTCTAATGGGCTGGGTTTGTGCAACCCTTAGACAGGTTGCAGAGGAGCAAGGTGTAGTGACAGTGTGGCCTTTTGCAGGTCACTGCAGTGATACAGCGGCCTTGGCCACAGAAACACAAAGGGCAAGTATAGCATCACCCTCTACTGACAGTTACATGTTTAAGAAACTTTGTAGTTTTGATTCACATAGAACATCAAACTACAATGGTTATGATCAGTGTAGAGGCAGCTTGTTCTGGTAGATTGTATTCTGTTATATTTTCACTATGGATGAAACAGTTGGTCTGATTTTGTGTGGATACTCAAGATGTGTGGCAAGAATCTGTGCAGGCTGCAGCATTTCGGGGGCTGTCAAATCAGGAAGGTGTTCAATAGCTGTGGCCAGTCTGGTTCTCTCCAGCACTCTTCTGTCACTGGGTTTGATTATTCCAGTTTCAGCTGAAAGTGGCTGTTTGTATTTGCATTGTTCTGCTCTTTGCATTTTCAACGTGCACCAGGAGCTGATGCTGAACAAGCTCATCTGCTCACCCTGCATGATGGTGTCTACCCCGGCCAGAGCTCTCTGGTGCTGTGTCCAACCACTCCCAGCACCGCTGCTAAACTGCTGCCCTGCGGAATTTCAGAATTGGAGGATAGACAGGGATCAGGGACACAGCAGCAGCTCTGAGAGTTGTCAGTGAACAGGGGCTGCTACATCAAGTTAGATCGTGTCTGTTAGTATCACTCAGCTCAAGTTTTACTCACTGGCCAGTTAAAGGACAATACTTTCATTCCTAAAACAGTGTTGGTTTTGGGTTTGGACTGTTTTCAGTGTGTTTTGTGGATCTTGGCTTGGACAAAAGCCACAGGACAGTAAAAGCAGGGTCAGTTCCTCTTCTCAGCCTTTTCATAACAGTGAATGCAGCATCACAGAGGCCACCCCACAGAGTGGTGACACCCTTCTGGGCAGTGTTGATTCTACCTGGGGTGAAATGAAGCCCCAAGGGTTACCTGGATCATGTCACCTCTGGCCAATTGTATTGGTGTTTGTGTTTGCTTGCTGTCACCCCTGCTTTGCCTTCTGGGGGAGGTCGCTGCAGTTGGACTTAAGGATGCATCCAAGGAATGCATCACAGGTATAGGTACAGAGCATGAGGGAAGGCTCAGGCGATAAATCAGGCACTCAGCCCTCTTCCCTCGCACTTTGTGTCCCCACACAGGGGAAGATGACATGGTTAACAGGAGGAGGTGATGGGTTTATCTCTTCCTCCTCTGCACTGAGTCCTCTCTGGCGTGCAGACCCCACTGCCACCATTCCTCTGTGTGTGACCCACGCATTGGTGTCATCTCGTGTGCTGGGTGGGGGCTCCATGGGCTGCTGGTTCACATCCTGCTGATGCCAAATGAACATTCGAGCTGATTAAAACTATAAGTGGCATCAGTGGAGGGATTAAAAGCTCTTGAACAAGCCCCTGCAAACACGTGCGTCAGTGGGGTGAGCTCTCCTGTCTCAGAGCAGTGAGCTCAGGGCTGCTCAAGCGAGCGCCTTCCCTGAAAATGTTCCTACTCCAGGGAAGCACAAACAGAAACCCTGCCCTACTTGCTAACGAAGCTGCCTAATAGGAGAAACCTTCCAGAAGAATTCTTGTGTGTTTGCCCTGACCTGATGTCTGTGTGCCTCTCACCTCCTCAAACAGAAACGCTTTATTCCAATGTCAGCCTCCAAAAGTGTCATCCCTTGGTTAACCTCTCCTGGAAAGAGAGTTGTGCCCACGACCCTGCCTTCTGCTCTGAGCAGCCTTGTCCTTTAGAAATGTGTTCCTCAGGCAAGGATTTCTTTAATGAGATTTCCTAGGGCTAAGGAATTGGAATTTGCTGGGCAGTGGTGTTTTTTCTACAGCGAGTCTTTCCCACTGCTCCCCTGGTGTCTCTGCAGTGCTCCTTGCCCATCCCTGGTGGGGAAGGACCTGCCCCTGCTGAATGAGGGAGTGAAATCTCGCCCCCACATTTTTTTCCCATGTAATTGTCTGAGTTTATAGCTCATGGACCGCCCCCACTGCTTCCCAGCACAACCACTGCCCTCGGCCCTGCTGGTGTCTCCTTGAGTTTAGAACATCCTAAAGGATGTATTTTTAGTACAGAAGTGACATCATGTGTACGTGTGCTCTTCTTCTGCTGTCCAAAGCGAATTTTCTGGGTCACAAACAAATTGTGTGGAAAATGCTGGTGATTTATGTGCAGAGTTGAGCATTCCCATGTCCCTGAGCTCAGAGGACAGGAGGGTGCCAGGGCTGTGGATGAATGGGTGCAGCACCTCTGCTGCTATAGGGAATATGGGGGTTGTTGTGTCTTGAGGCTTTGGCTAAAGCAAGGATTAGTGCAGCAAATTCTACTCTAAACTCCCTGGCGCTGAGCATCCTTGTGGGCTGAGCTGCAAACTTTTCCTGCTCTGCTTCCAGCTGCATCAACCTGGATTTTACTCACTTTTTTCAGAGCCACTTGTGATGCCTGAGCTGCTGCTGCTGACGCAGTGGACGAGTGGTGCAGGGCATCTCTGGGGTTGCAGCTTGTTCTGCCTTTGCTGGTGGAGTACAGGGAGCCAGCACTCACAGACACATCACATGGACTCTCAAGGCCAGGCTCTGCTGTGGGAACACTTGTCCTTGTTCCAGCAGGACTGTCACTGCGGAGAGCTGTGTGGGATGGGGCTGTGTTGTGGGGAGATGCTCAGCCCCAGCCAGTCCGTCCCAGCTCAGCCCCCGCCCTGGGGCAGCTGGATGTGCTGTTCTTGGCAGTGTGCTCCATGCACTGCTGTCTGAGTCCCTCTGGGAAAAAGCTGACTGTAAACTGAGCCCAGTTCCTATCTGGATCAATAGCAAAAGCACTGGGCAGTAGAGAGATGTGGCATCTCTCTGCTAACTGGGATAAGCGGGCAGGTGGCAGGAGTGGTGTCCTATACCTCTTCCATCCAGCAGCCAATGCCTGGAGTCACAGTGTAGTAACTGAGACAAGCCACTGATAAACCTGACCTCTCTTTCTCCTCTCTTGTTTTTTCTTGCAGATTTATTTACCAGGGACCCATAATCTCCATTATTTACGTGCAACAAGGAAGTCAAAGATAAGGGAAGATAATGATACGGAAGATCCCTGGTCTACAGGATTTCTGGCAATGTGAAATATCTGGGTGTTACTTTTTTGAGTTGGGAAGGGGTGTTGTGGGAATGTGGGAGGGGGCTGCAGGGGCCTATGGAAGATCACAAGCTGGCAGCTGTCACACTCACAAGACTTTGAAACAAGATCCGGAGAGCAGAGCTGCCCTTGCCGAGCCCTCCCCATGTCTCCTGTGCTGCTGTTTGACTCAGTAGATGTTTCTAGGGATGCGGTTTCATAGGGAAGTGGGAATCAGCGGCCTGATGGTGAGGTGTGCTGCCAGGCACCAGCTCTGAGTCCAGCTGGGCATAGTTTTGGGTTCAAAGCTATTGATTTTGCCTAGGGAAAATGGGAGCAAAGTGATGGCTAGGTTTGCATTGGGAGTGCAGTGCTTTAGGTAAAACAAGTCTCTTGGACCACACGTTGCAAGCAGCTAAATAACTTGTGAGCAGCTGACATTAGAATAGAGTAGGATAAATAAGCTGGAAAAGCCATTTGGCAGAGCAGGTCTTCCCGATCTGTATTTCATGACCATCTTGGTTATTGTCTTTCTATTCAGAGGCAACTGGGGAGCTGCTGAGTTCATTTTCAGGTTGACATTATCTGAGTACAGGAGAAACAGAAAGCAGTCCACTGCTCTGATCCATTTAATGCCAAACTTCAGTCGATAGGAACAATGCTGTGGCGAGAAGGATGTTTGGCCTTAATGGGTCATGGGCTGGCTTCTAGCCTCCCACAGGACACCTTTCCCTGCTAGATAATGATCTCCAGGAAGCAAAAGGCAATGCTGCTGTTCAAGGTGGGTTATAGTACAGTACAGCTCAGGTCAGGAGATTGGAACCTCAGGCTGAGCAGTTAATACTCGATTTCCTTGCCTATATTTAAAGCAGAACTCCTATTCTGGGGCTGCCCTGTGTTGATGATCTTTAGACTTTGCTCACTGTAAATGCAATGTAAAGCATCACCTCTTCTGAACCACCTAAAATGCTTCTCAGAAGGTGAAATCACCCAGCAGTGGTTTGGGAAGTGGGCTGGTCTAACCCAGCATCAGTCCTGAGCTGCCAGGGTGCTCTGTCTGGAGCTGGCCGTGGCCACAGGCAGGAGAGGGTCCCCCTGGCTCCCTCATCCCTGGCTGTGTGAACTGCTCCTCGCCTGCAGCTTTCCTCTGTCATCACTGGAAAGTTCCTAACTGGCAGCATGTAGTTCCTCAATGTACTATGCTGACCTCACAGGAATGAATGGAAATAGAGGAAATTCAGGTGGGCTCAGGCAGAGCAGGAAGAGGATGGAGGGATTTCTTTCTTCTCTTCCATCTTTTCCATGACACAAAGCTAAAGCTGTGGCTGCAGGAAGGCCTGGTCCTTCTTAGGAGGGCCAGGAGGCTCCAGACTGGCTGTCTATGACTTGTGAAGGTTTGGACAACACGAATGCACTGCCAAGCCCTTCTTCTCACACTGTGTTTGTCCATAGGGATGCTTCTATGGGCTGCAGCTGGGTGGGATTCCTGCAGCTTACTGTGCTGCATCCTACAGGAAGGGGAGAGTGAACCATTTATCTCACAAGTGCAGTGTTAGTGTCCTGATCACTGGACCATCCTTCCTCCACCTGGCAGAGCCTTTGTTCCTTACAGCTGTTCCAACTGAGCCCTGGCCTGAACGGGTGCAGTAAGGGGGCAGAAGGTGAAGCTGGAAGGCTGTGAGTGGATTGCCCTGTTCTCAGGACAGGACTGACTCCAGCAGGCCCTGGCAGGGTCAGCCCTCTTGGTCCACTGCTGTTTCAGGCCATCTTCAAACCACACGTGTCCATCTCAGCTTTTGCATTGCAGATGTGTTTTTCAAGCAGCTTGATGTTAGTGAGCTAGACCGTAGTGCCTTACTTAGGATTTAGCAAACACTTCCAAGGAGGAGTCCTAGGGCTGCTAGCCTTTGGCCAACATGGATGTTTCCCTGATTAGTTTGTCTTTTTAAGAGCATTTCTCTCTGATTTTGCTGCTGTTTGTGCTCAGCTCCCCAGACTATACAGGAACTTGCCTTGTGTTTACAGCTCCCCACATCTCTCCTTCAGTTACTTTGGCCCTGACCAGCACTTCCTCTAGAGCAAGGTGGGAACAGGGAACAGCTCAAACCTGCATATTCTGTGGGATGGAGAATGTTTAGGCTTCTCTTCCCAGGTGGGTCTGTTGGGCCTCACCTGCCCAGCTCCTGCAGGCCAAACTTCTGGATGTTTGGTACTAGGATGCAGTGCTGAGAAAATCCAAGTTTAAGAAAGCAGCACCAAGCCTGTGGCCTGTTTCCCAGCCCAGGGCCATGCTGTCTGTCTCTTCCTGGCTGCAGTGAAGCTGAGCATCCAGGTGCTGGAGGTAGCTGGTTAGTGTGGGGGGAGCCAAGCCTCCCTTGCAAAACTCTCTGGGCTCGTGCGGCCCCAGACGGTGCCCACACCAGGGGAGTGATTGTATGAAACTGTTTACTTCTGATTTTGCTGTTTACAAGAGGGATGTGGGGTGGGTGGGGGGAACAAGCCAAGCCTCAGGAGGATTGGGAAACGTGTTATCTGCACCAGCCTGTAGCAAGGCCGACACCAACTGGCATCATGCAGGTGTCACGGGGATCTCCCAGCTAGCTTTGGTCCGTGGGGAGGAAAGCAGAGGTGGCTCTAGCTTAGAGGGGTTAGATTAGCTCCCCTATATCCCCTTGCTGCTGTGTTTGAGGTTCAGCAGTGCTAGTGACAGATAAGAGTTACCCCTGTGGTCTTCCTTTACTCCTCAGGACCCAGCTCCTTCACATATCACAGGCTCCCAGAGCCTTTCTGGAGCAATAAGATGTAAAACAAGCATTCCCATCGTTGTGGAAATCCTCCATTGTGTGCAGTGTCTGTCTCCTCCGTATGCAGTATGAGTCTGGGTTTAAGCCTGCCAAGTGTCACAGGGCAGCTGCTGCAGGGCACAAATTGGGATTTGTTTCCTTGGCCTTTCTGCAGGTCAGGAGAACAGGGAAACACGCTGCTGCTTTCCTTCCTTACCCCAGGTCTGTGCTGCCCAAAGCCTCACACTACAGCTGCCCTGGGCGAGGGTGCTCCTGGTCCCCTTTCCGGCAATGCTGGCATGGGATGGGTGAGAGGAGCTCAGTGCTGTGCTCTACTCCTCACAGCCCCCATCCCATCAGCAATGGGAAAGCAGAGCCTCCATTTCCTTTGCACTGGGATGCAGCCAATGCTTGTGCCACTGGGAAGAGTTGTGCCAGTGGCTCCAGGGCTCCTCAGCTGGTTACAGGCACTTCCAGCATGTGGACCCTTCAAGTCCAGAAACATTTCACACTTCAGGGTGTTTGGGGTGGTGGGGGTAGCTGGAAGGGAAGTGCAGGGAGCTGCTCTCTTCCAGCTGTGATCCGCCAGATCATTTCTCTGCAGCGTGCCCAAATGCTTTTAGCCCTGGGGGTATGTCTAGGCTGTTGGAAGAGCTCACAGGGGCCACACGGGAGTGCCTGGTGTCCCCAGCCTAGTGCCTGTTCCCTCCACAGCAGCTGCCCAGGCCAGCGTGGGCCTTCAGCTCACTCACCCAGCAGAAAACAGCAGCTTTGCAGGGTGAGCTTCTTCACTACCCCACCAACAGAGTTCTGTGTGAGCCCCAGGATGGGGGCACCCTGCCCCAGCCCTGCTGAGGGCTCTCCCCACTCCCCACAGCTCCTGTGCTGAGCTAGCAAGAGCAAAAGGTTTAAACCCAGACTCCAAATAAAGATAATATTAGTAAATGAATCTGTATTTTTCTTTTTTTTTTTTTTTTTGCACAGAAGCTGGTAATCTAGGACCTATGTGTGAACAACTTTATATAAATATTTTTTGTACTTGGTTTACTTGGGTTGTTATGAAACGTTCTATTTAAGTTCTTTGAACACTGTGGATCTCCTGATGTGTATGAATGACAGAGGCTTTGTAAATTAAGGGACGTTTGTGTGAATAAAGGTATTTGATGGGGTTGAAAAGCCACACACAACTTGAAACGTGAACTCTGTGTTTGTCCTTTGCTGTGCTGGCAGCAGTGGGGTCAAAAGGGTGTCTCTGGCAGCAGTGGGCAGACCAAGGCCCTAAGCAGCTCTGGCTCCATCCTGGAGGACAGGTCCAGCTAAGCCCCAGCTGGAACTGGGCTAGCTGGCCTGACCTCGGGGCTTGGGTCACTAAACCAAGGCACCCTGGCCAGTGCCAACCAGAACATGGCTCCCTGGCATGAGGCACTTGTGGCCCTTTATCCTTGCCCTGGATTAGGATTAACCCCGTTCTTGATGCAGACACCAAGTAGGACATTGTGATTAGTGGGACAGGTAAGCTTGGCCTCTGCCTGCACAGAGACACCTCCCCATCCTGCCCCTTCCTCCCATCTGGCCACGAACTGGCACCTCCATGGTTCAGGAGCCAGAAAGGATGAGCAGCCCCTCACTCAGCTGGCTGCCCACTCTGGAGGTGCCTGTAAACCCCAGAAGGAAAATGCTCAGCAGAACTGCCACTTGAGTAGCCACAATCAGTTTCTCCCTTTCCACACATCCTCTGCTCCAAATCCCAGATAACCAAGCTGGGAACCTCCAGTGCCACAATTGCCATCCACGGTATAAAAAGCATCACGAGGCTGAGCCGCATCCTGCAACCACGAGAAGTTTTCCTGTGGGTGATGTCCACAGGTGTCCAGCAGCCCGGGGCCACCCCGAGCCGGCGTGGGACACAGGATGTGCCAGCACCCGTGCCCGTGCTCTGCTGCTCGCCAGCCCTTGCGTAACAGCCCCGTAGCCTCGCACGACCCGCGGCAGCCGCAGCGCCCGCGCTGGGACGTGCAGGGCAGCCAGTGCTGTCCTCCCCTCCCGCTCCCCCTGCGGCAGCCCCAGCACCGCCGGCCGTGTGGCCGTGGGCTCCCCCCGCATGGCCGTCAGCATTGTGCTCCTTAATCGCTGCCGACAGGCACCTTAAATGGATGTTTTCAGCCCAGTGGGGCCGCAGGGAGGCTGGTCGACCACAGCCGCAGCGATGCCGAGGGGCCAGAGCAGCCCCGCTCACTTGGCTGGCAAGGGGGGCCCAAGCTGTTCTTCCCCCTGCTTTCTTCTGGGTTATCTCAGGCACTGAATGCACAGCACCCACTGTGAGGGGTGGCCCAGGTTCCTCAAACATCCTCCTCAGTCCTGCCCAGAGCCTGCAGGCAGGGAAGGGGCTGCATTGGCTCCAGTCACACTGGCCCCCAGTGTGGGACAAGCCCTGAGACTGTCCCTGTCTTGGTGAGAAGTGCAGCTGCAGAGACCTCCTGTGCCACACTGGCTGTTCCCCACCAAATGCAGTCACCCCCAAAATCTCTGTCACAAATGCTGCAGCACCTCCAACAACACTTCTGCTCTTGTGGCCCTGCTGGTTTAAGCTCCACTGTTGACAAGGATCATGTTGTCTCCAGGCTCATGGCATCTTGCTCTTTGTGACCAGATACAAAATGTGCTCCGTGAGCCCCATGGCTCCTGATTCCCAGCTCAGCCCTTGAAAATGGGGTGAAACTGAACCCCAGCAGGAGCTTGGGGCTGGAGCCTGGTTCACCTCTCAAGTGTCCTGCAGGTGAGGAGCCAGAAAAAGGGCAGGTGACGGCACAGCAGAGTCAAAAACACCATTAATGAGGAAGTTGATGTCAGTCACCAGGAGAGATGTTTCGCTCTGGATTTGCTCTCTGGAGACCTGCTATTTCGCATGCAAAGAGGTTTGCTGAACTTCACGAAGGTGCTTCAAGCATTTGACAGCTGACAGTCCCCCAGGAGCCACCAGCCCTGTGCTCCTTGGGACTGGGAGGGGGGCACATGCTGGGGCAGAACTGCACGTGGCAAAGGCCACAGCCAGGCAGCAGGGCCTGGGTAGGAAAGACAGGGACAGCCCTGGCAGCCACCACGGCCGTGAGGTGAGTCACAGTCCTGAGTGCCAGCACCAGCCTCACCTGGAGGGATTAAATCTCAGAGTA